CCGTGCTTGTGGGTAAGATGCAAAGCCGCGGTTGTGAGCTTTGTGGCCGCAGCCTGGGAGGTATTGCCCGGAGCTTGACTGGGTGCAGCAAAAGGACCCGGGCGTCTCCAGCGGAGACACTCGTTTGCCTACCTCCTACCTGTCTGCTTGGATCCATGTAGCTGTTGAGATACCCCAGCAATGAAGTTACTGCGCGCAGCCAGAGCCTCGGTGCCAGGGCCCTCCTGGGACCGGCAGACAGGCCTTCTTGTACAAGGATGAGCTGGAGGGTCGTGTCCCTTCTGTCCCTCGCTGAGCTGACAGCACCTGAGCTTGGTCTAAAGCACACAGCAGCTTTGCTGTCATGACCAAACCTGATGGCCTGTTCTTGGCTTCACCTGCGTTCCAGGTAGTTCCTACATGAGTGCCTTGGAGATCGGCGGTCTGGTGGGAAGCATTGCTGCTGGATACCTTTCTGACAGAGCAGTGGCAAGAGTAAGTAATCTGGGCCCCGAGATGTGCTGGGCAGATAACGCAGCATCAGTTTGAGCTGCTTCAGAGTTTGTCCAGTTTGTTTTGGCTTCCTTCGTGAGTGCTTAAAGGCGATTTCCTCCCCTTCCACCGCCGCCACCCTGTAGTACCTGCACCAGGAGCGGAGCGGAATGCTCCCCTTGTTTATGTTGCTCTGGAGATTCAGAGTACCCGGAACACGGAGGCAGGGAGCTGCTGCCTCGTGCTAAAAGAGAGCCGTTCTCGGTACCGTGTGTCTTTCCTCTGTTTTCCCAAGCTTTTCTTTTGGATGCAGTTCTGTGTGTAAACTACCCTGCTTTGAAATGGGACTTTTGAAATTCATACCACTCGCGATTAACCCATCTCTTTACCCATCTTTGGGAGGGATGCGACCCATCTCAGCAGCTGAACCGAGATGCTCGGTCAGGGTGGTGTGGCGGCTGCTTGGTGCAACCGAGGGAAGTAGGCCCGGTTCTGCTGCGTGCCTGAGAACAACTGCTGAACGCACTGGAAGATTTGGGGAAATACATTTGCTGATGTTAGGGATTGAGATACACCTGTGAGGTTTAAAATGCTTGATCTTTTTTTTGTCAGCTTTACTGTGCTCTCCGTATTTCTGTGTCGGAAGAGATCTGGTTGTTGACAGTTGTCTTCTGTCTGGAAAAAAACCCACAGTGAAATCCAGTTCTGGGATCCGAAGCCAAAATCAGGGTGGAAATAGGATGCAGTTGATGAGAGAAGTGTAATTCATCACTAAGAACTGCTTGTTTAGCGCGGTTTGACTGTGGGCAGTTCTCAAACCAAGCCAAGGAATCTTGCAAGAAGGTGTGCTTTTGATGCACCCTTGGTGTTTCTGACTGGCCGTTAGTTACCACAAGTATAAAACGGAAGGAGTCTTTCTGGTTTCTGACCCCCGGTTTCCCGTTCTGTGCTACAGGTCGGTCTGTCGAGCTACGGGAATCCTCGACACACGCTGCTGCTTTCCATGATGGCCGGGATGTGCGTGTCCATGTTTCTCTTCCGAGTCACAGTCACAGGCGATTCTCCCAAGGTAATCCATGTGTGAGTTGTGGGGATGGCCCTGTAACGGTGAGGAGTTTGATGATAGGGAGTATGACTGTTTTCTTCACCCTTCCCAAGAACTGTAAGTTCGCATTTGCTTTGTTTGCGCTGCAGAAAAGCAGGCTAACCTAGTCTGGCTTGGACTGCCTCTACTGCCTAAGCTGGCTTGGGTAGCCTGTGTTACCGGCTATAGCGTGGCCATGACTTGCGTTTGCCCTCATAACTGCTAAAAGTAAATTAAACTTCTCTTTTTTCCTTTTTTTTTTTTTCTCTTCTTCAGGAAAATCACTTCTGGACTGTAGCCTTGCAACCTCTAGCTGATCTTACAGGCCTAACAGAACATGAGGTTTCTGCCTTGCATTTTTTCTCCCTCTGCCTGTTTCTGCTTTCGCTGATCTGCCTTTTTCCTATCCTGGGAGGTTGGTTAGCACTACAGAACTTAAAACCAGGGCATTGAGAAGAGATTACTGTAAGTTTTGTAAAAGCAACCTTTTCTTACAATCCTTTGATTACACTAACTGACTTGAAAAAGTCTGAATATAAAACTTGTAAGTTAGAAGGTTCTGAGGATGTTTGTTCATCAGGTACGATGCAGTCAGTTAAGGGGTCTTGTGAGTGAGGCCAGGAGAAATGATTCTGCAGCCTTCCTGCTTAATTTTTGGCAAGTCTTTTCCTAACTCTTTGTTGCTGTTTCCCACCTGGAAAGTAAGACAGCCTTTACTTCCTCCTGGGCATCTTGAAATGGTGTTTATAGTTCAAAAAGCATGCTGTAATCTTGAGGTGGTCAAGTTGCTTATCCTTTGTCGTCCTTTCGCAAGCGACTGATCAGTTCTGGGCCGGGTAGTTTTCTTAGCGCGTAAACCAACGCCAAAGTTCAAACTGTTGGGGTTTTTCGGTTTTGTTTCCGTGTTTGTTTAGTAACATAGAGGTTATTGGATAGTGGCTTCTCACAAATTAGGATGCTCTGATCAGTCGCTTCCATCTAAAACGAGAAAAGGTTTTAGCTGATGCCTCCAGGATGATTTTTAAAAGCGACTCGATTCACAGCTCTCTCCTGTGATTTCACAGGCTCGTTGCCCACCTCTCTTCAATGTTTTGGTTCATTCTTGCTAATGGGCACACGTTGTGTGTACACGGTGTAGGGTGCGGAACCGTAGGAGGGAGAGGGGAGCTCGCGCTGGCCCACAAGACCGTGTGGTGGAGATGCAGCTGGGCTGCATGTATGTGGGGTCTGTCAAAGGCTCGAGCTCTTCTGTCTGCGGGCCAGGGAGCTGGTGTCAGCCCGAAAATGTCAAAACCCCTCGTACCATACATGGGATCTGAGGCTCGTCAGCAGCTGCTGATTGGCCGTGGTAAGATGCGCGGATCCTGTTTCTGATCTTAACTTATTTTGACAGCTGTGGATCCTGACTCTGGGAGCTGTGTTTGGGTTCTCCTCGTACGGGCCGATCGCCCTGTTTGGGGTTATAGCCAACGAAAGCGCGCCTGCCAACTTGTGCGGCACCTCCCATGCCATAGTGGCCCTCATGGCCAACGGTGAGTAATGCCCGTTTCCCTGAAAAACAAACAAAACCCGTGTGTGTTCTCGATGAAGCGTGGTCTAGCCCCTGGGTGCCAAGTGTCAGGTCATGGGAAGCCACCTAAGAAGCAGAGATAATAGAGCTTGAAGCCTCGGGGATGCTTTCTGCTGTAGCTGGCAGGTTTTTGCCTTGTGCTTTGAGTTCAAACCAGGCCTGAGGAATTTTTAATACATGCAAAAACAAGTACTGGCAGATAAAAGAGATGCTCAAGCGTTGCTAGTTTGCTGTTTGTTTTTCCTTACAGTTGGGGGTTTTCTGGCTGGACTACCCTTCAGTACCATTGCCAAGCACTACAGCTGGGCCACAGCCTTCTGGGTAGCCGAAATCACCTGTACCGGTAGCACGGTGGCGTTCTTCTTACTGCGGAACATCCGCACCAAGATGGGCCGGATTCCCAGGAAGGCTGACTGAGGATAAGCTGCTGGGTGAAAAGGATGCTCCCGTGCCGATGTGAACGATGCTCGTTTTTTGTTTAACTGGCCTAGGAGTGAGGTTTACCTATTGCTGCAACCTAGATAAAAGTGTCTCGATTTTTCATCCACTGTCGGGTGCCTGGGGGCACAAGGTTCCTGCTACCGATCGCTTTTTCCCTCGAGATGTGATTAGTTCAGCTAGTTTACATTTGCCATGATTTTACTGTACCTCCTTCTCACAGCACTGTTGGTGAAGCAGGCAGGCTTCGCAGCCTGAGCTTCTCCACTAAAAGTACTCAAAAATTACTGGCTTCAGGAGCTGTCACACTGTCACGTTTAGTTTTGTCCGTACTGTTCATCTCAGGCATTAACTGTCAATTCAGCCGCGTTGTTCGGGGGTGCCTTGGCCGGGTTTGTTCATCCCCTCCGGCAGCTGTAAGCGCAGCTGTCTCGGTTTACTTAGCTCCCTGCACGCTCTCGGCCCTGGAACAGTGACAGAGCAGTGAATGATGATGATTACAGTTCGGCTGATTGGAGAGCAGCGTGGCTTTAGCTTTACGCGGAATTAGCTGTTAGGAGCGAGGGCGGTGTTTTGCTCTGGACAAGCGGAACGCCAGTGCGGTGCTGTGGCAGGGCTCTCCACAGCACTTAGTAATAGGCACGTTTCCAAGACATTCTTGGCACTTCAGGGGAGAGCGTTTAGAGAAGCTCCTTCTGTTGAACCGATCCTGCCCGGTGCGATTTCTGTGTACAGTGTTAATGATTTGCAAGGGAAGCAGCTGCTGCCACGGTAGCTTGTAGCGAGCGCTCTGCAAATCAGCCAGGAAACCTGACCCAGCGACAGCAGGTATTGCGACAGCAGCTACTGCTGGCCCACAGCTCCTGCAGCTGGGTTTTGTGAAAGTCCTGCATTTCTAGTATTGGCTCGCATCTTTTCAGTGCGAGTTGCGGAGTCTAGGATGGTTTTGGTCGAGAGCTGCCGCTCTCGTGGCTGCGGGTCAGGGCTCGGGCTCCGAGGGTTGGCCGTAGCAGAGCCAGTGCTGCCAGCCAGCAGCCTTGAAGCCGTCAGGCCCAGCGCTCTCTGCGATAAGTAGACTCAGGTTTTTAAGGGGGATTGTTGAATGTTCTTGTTTTTCCCAAAAAGGATTTACTGCTTTAGGGGTCCTGGAAAAGAGGCCAGTTCAGCTCATGAAGAACCTGCACGCAGGTACTTTGCTCAACAGCTTGGTTGCAAGAGTAGGTAGCCAGCCTTAATTAAAACAGTGGAAGTCAATTACATTTTGTACTTAATTATATGCTCTTCTCCTATTTGTGAAATAAAAACGGAGCAGCGTCTCAAGGGCTCTGGTTGTCGTAAGACCGGTGCAAGCAGAACTGCCCAAACCCGCTCGCTTACCCTCTTGAGGCACTACTGGCGCCAATGTGCCCTGGCAACAGAAAACAACCAGCCATCCACCTCTCTTAACGAATGTTTATTACTTCTACACAGAAATTCTCTGCAAAACCATAAGTTAGAGCTATACAGGAAAAATACATATGTACAATTATGAAAGAAGAGAAAACACTGGACTGCAGTAAGGCCGCAGACCTGCACCTTATCTCTCTTTCCTCGCTCGAGGGCAGTGGAGCTGCAACAGCAGAGTAAGCCTCTGTGGCCCAGTGTAAACAAGAGCAATGAGTCTGTTTAAGGTAAATTTCGTAACAAAGAGGATAAAGCAGTATCTTGGGAAATAACGAAGCATGTTTTGGGGATATGCGGTCTCTGCTGTGCAGGACAGAGCTACGGGAGAGACACCGGCCGGGGAAGAGAAGGGCCCTGCTCTTCAGACAAAGGAGTCTGTGCGAAGGCGAGGCTTTCTCTACGATCCAGGTCCGAAGGGTCCAGCTTTCTCTGCCACCTCCAGAGCAAGTTTCAAGTTCTGATCAAACAACTCGCATCTGAAAGGGTCAGAAAAGCAGAAGGGAACAACTTAACCTGCGGAACAGGCTGCCAAAGACAGGATCTCCACATCCTTTGGCTCTGCATCCCTCAGGGAAAGATTCCACGGGCCATGAGACAGCAACCTGACCGCTGTCAAACTGTGTCGTGGCTGCTAATTAAAACTAAAGCTGCTTGTACGGGCCTGAGCGTTATGTGAGGACAGCAGGGGTTGTACCGAGGAAGAGCACCTCCTGCCGCCCCCAGCAGAGCGGCGCTGGGAAAAAGCACAGGTCCCTGCAGCAGCGTGCTGCGTCCTCCCCCTTCCCTCAGCCCCTGGGTTTGCTTTGCTGCCTCACTTGAGGGCTGTCAGCGTTTGTTACGGCGCAGGCAGAAAGTGAGGAGGGCTTGCAGCTGCGTCGGTAAAAGGGGGCTCTTCCTTACCTGATTGGCATCTCGAGGGAGTAGAAAGGATTCTTCAGAGCAAAGTCGGAGTAAATCTCATAGATCTTGCGGAGAAGGGAATCTATTCCCGCCTGCCTCGGGTCAGCGAGGACCACGAATTTGATCCCTGGGGCCGTAAGGAGAGGAGCATGAGGAGGCCGAGCAGCAGGGCAGCCGCAGCGGCGCGGAGCCGGGTGCCCGGGCCGTACCTGTCAGCGTCTGGAAGCAGTGCAGCTTGAAGGTGTCCGTCTCCAGCATCTCGATCCCGGAGCTCCCAACCTCGGGGGACAGCTGCGACCCGATGGCGAACAGCCTGCGGGGAGAGGGCCCCTCAGCACCCCCCGCCGCGCCCCACCACCAGCACCCCCCCCACGCACGCCCCGCCTCACGAGTGGAACATGGAGGCCAGCATGAGCTTCTCGTTGGAGGAGAGGCGGTGCCGCCCGAAGCGGATGGACACGGGGTAGTTGGCGGGGTTGCCCAGGAACTCCAGCACGTCCTTCCCGTCCGCTGTGAAGCGCCCGTTGACCTCGGCGCCGTTAATGGCGAGCACGGCGTGGCCGACTGCGGGGACGGCGCGGGGTCAGCGCGCCCGCCCGCCCCGCACCCCCCGCCCGCCACGGCCCGCTCCCCCCCCCCCCCGCCGCACCGCGGATGCCGTCGCGCTGTCCGAAGGCGACGACGACGCGCTCGTCGTGCGGGCGCAGGACGAGGTCGAGCGGGAAGCTGAACGTCTTCTCGGTGTCGGCGCGGGGCGCGTAGTGGTCCAGCTGGTAGATGAGGCCGCCCGCCTTGTTCACCACGTACACGCTGAAGATCGCCATGGCGCCGCCGCGCCCCGCCCCGGAAGTGGCGTCAAGGCCGCGCCCGCCTCGCGCCGCGCCGCGCCGCGCCGCGCGCTTCCTTTCTCGGCCGACATCTTGGGGGAGCGGACGCCGCCGCAGCATGGTGAGCCGCGGGGCTGCCGAGGGGCGGGCGGCGGGGCCGGGGGGCGCCGCCGAGGGGCGGGAGCGGCTCCCTGGGGGTGTGCGGGGGGGGAACTCTGAGGAAATGCCCCGCGGGCGCCGTCCCTGCGCCCCGCCGCTGACCCTCCCGTCCTTTTCCCCGTCCCCCCCCTCCCCGCCGTGCAGCCGCCCAAAGACGACAAGAAGAAGAAGGATGCGGGTAAATCCGCCAAAAAGGACAAGGACCCGGTCAACAAGTCAGGTGGCAAAGCCAAGAAGAAGGTAGGAGCCTGCTGAGGCCGCAGCCCGCGGGGGGGGGGGCGCAGCAAAGGGGTGCGGGGCTGTGGGAGCCCCCAGGGCCTTCCTCGCGGGCGGCGTGACCGGGCCTAAAGAGCGGGGGGGTGGGTGCTCCTGGTGCCGTGATGGGGGAAGGGTTGTGCTGGCACCCAGGTAGAGGAGCGAGCTCTGCGTGATGCTGTTAAAATCTGAGTAACAGAAGGCTTCCGTCATTTTATTTGGAGACGCTGTACGTATTGCCCGCAGCACGTACGCTTACAAGGACGATTTTGTGCATCACGGTAGGCCTTTAATCTAGGGCGATACGGAGATGCTTGGCGCAGTTCTTGGGCCATCCTAAAGCTCGATCTTGTCTTACTGCTTCGAAGATAGCTTAAGATTTGTTTTATTTTCCCTCTTTTCGAGTAGAAGTGGTCTAAGGGGAAAGTGAGAGACAAGTTGAACAACCTTGTCCTGTTTGACAAGGCCACCTATGACAAACTGTGCAAAGAAGTGCCCAACTACAAGCTCATCACACCTGCAGTTGTCTCTGAGAGACTGAAGATTCGAGGCTCCCTGGCTAGGGCCGCCCTCCAGGAGTTGCTCAGCAAAGGTAAGTGCTCAAAACTCCGGAAAAAACGGAAAGCAGCTTCAATTTGATGTTTTCTTCTCACTGTTCACCTACACGACCTCATGCTTCCTGTGTTTTTGGTGAGCTGCCACCTTAGGTTGCGTTTCAAAAGTGCTGTGAAGTGAGGAGCAGAGGCTCCGCTGCGTTCAGGAGTGTTGCTGTGCTTGTATATTATACCTTGTATAAATTTGTGTAGTATTGGGTACCCTGATACGTTCTATGGTGCATTGTCCACTCTGCCACTTTAGAAGGGAGCACAACGTCCCTGGTGTCCTCCAGTATGTGCCCACTCCCATCATTTCCTTTTTTTATAGGTTTGATCAAACTGGTGTCCAAGCACCGAGCCCAAGTGATCTACACCAGAAACACAAAAGGTGGAGATGCGCCCGCCGCAGGGGAGGATGCGTAGGGAGGTGAGGTGGTGGGCTCTGAAGGAGCCGAGCCGCGCTTTGTCGGGAACTAACAAATGTCCGCACGACATGTAACGGACAGTTTCCACGTTGCTTTGGATGGGTGGTTTCGCCAGACGATCGGAGGATGTCACTCGCGCTCTGGGTGACTTCCTGGGTGGTGTTACTGGAAACATCAGTTCTCCAGAATTAAAGAGCAATTTGCCCCTGTTGCCTATCGGATGAGGAAAGCCTGCTTTCATTCAGGCTTTTTTGTTCAGAGTGCTTGGGTAGAACGCGTGCTCCCCTGTCTCTGGCGGCTGTGGGGTACGTGGGCGTGTGTCCTTCCTGCCGTCACAGGGCACTGTGACGGAGTGTTCTTGTTGGAACAGAGCTTTGACTGTTTGCTTTGACCTGGTTGTCTGATTTGGGACTTCTTGCTTTGCAGGTTCTCCAGTGACCTCATCAACAATGTGTCATATGTAGATGCACACAATAAAATTATTGAAATAATTTTTCTTGCTTTTTCAAGAATGTGTACGTTTCATTATTGACGCATTATTGATAGTGGATTTTGGTACAGGTCACAGTTGTCTTCCTCTACCAGCCGGTTTTTGCATTTATAGTGTTTAATAAATGTACCGGCAACATGTTTTTCTGTTGTGAAAAGGGAAGGAACTAATGCATCACCTACAGCGCCCAGTGATGGTTAAACCATATTCAGTTGTAGTAGGAAGAAAACTGAAGCCTGTTTCTTGCACCGTAGTTAGGGAAGGTGCTAGGGGGATACCTTCATTCTTTATTTAAGCTCCCTCTAAGCAAGCTGTGCCCGCAGATCTTTGCATACAAGGCAACGGCATCTATCGGGTCAGTGTCTAGTTGGGAAACGTAGATAAGCAGCTCTAACTGAGGGTGTGAGTATTTCATTTAAATTGAAAGTAAGAACTGTCTGCAGCAAAGGTCTGGTGTCCTTTAGGTCAGGCACAAGTGAAAGTAACTTAAATTAGTGAAAACATCAAGTGCGTGGCCCGCATTGTTCCTGGAGCAGGCCCTGCATCTGAAATGAGTTTTCAACTGGTATAATAACACAGGTAACTTGGAAAAAAAAAAAAAATGTCAAAAATTTATTTCTTTAATGGGATGTCATGCTACATGTCAGCATAGGACACTGGCAGCACATGCTGTATAAGCTAGGCTGTCTGATAACAAAGATACAGCATAGGCAGGAGACTTTCCTTGCTGGCAGGATCTGCCCTGCAATAGCTTCAGACTTCAGAAACATGCCCAGATACATGCTGCGTGTCTGTTACAGGGGGAGTGGATCTGTTGCGACACTCCCCGGCAAAGTAGCTTTCAGTAACAGGGCTCAACTCGGCATTACGCTGTGGTCACCTTGCCTTCCAGGGGCTGAACGCACCTAGATGTAGCTATTAAATCAGAGCGATAAATTTGGCAGCAGCGGTAACAAAGCTGCAGCTATCTATGGTCCACCTTTCCACAGTCAGGGCTTGGTTTCTTCGGAGCTCCTGTTCTGATCACCTTTTTTTCTTCTTTTCCCCTGATTCAGTTCTAAACTGGTGCCTGAAAGAGAGTGTAGAAGTCAGCATGCCAACCGCCTCTAGAAAGAGGTAACGAATGCTGCCTCATCTAGCAAAGAAGATAGTGCTATGCAGAGTGTTTTAGAACGGAAGCTCACTGTATTGTTTCTGTTATCTCAGTGAGCTGTAGCAGTCTCGTCAGCTACCCAACGCATATTGCTAGCATGTTAAAAGGTGCCAGCAGGACAGTACGTGGGGCTGAAAGGTGAGCCAGGCTTAACAAGGCAGACACCTTCGCGTGCACGGCCTCTACAGCTGTGATCGTGCTCCACCTCGCAAGTCACGCGCGCGCTGCCTGGATCGAGCACTGCGTGGTGTAACTCTTTTCGCACGGCGAGACGTCTCGTTACGCTTGCTGCCGTCAAAAAGCCCGCTCCGTGAGTAGCTTGCAGGGAAGGAAGCTGCAAACCCTCTGCTCGGCATCTGGCCGTGCTGCCCTGAAGCTTACCTGGACTGCCACCGCCGGCCGTGATTCCAAACCCGCCCAAAGGAAGGGAGCCAGCTGTCGCCTGTCTGCGAGGTATGGTCAAAGTTGGCACCGACGCGCTCCGCTGGGAGCTTTTTCAGCTTCTGCTTCTCCTCTAAAAAAATACTTCGTTCAGCTAAAGTCTTTCAGATTGCTTTTGGTTCTTTAGTGCGGTAAAGTGCATGTAGGGGTAACTGAAATGAACGCAAGCTGCTCACTGTGTTTGAGAAATTCCTCATAGGAAGGTCCGATCTGTTGTTTACTTCCATCCTCTTCCTCTGTTAGCCACGGAGGTTTTGCTCCTAGAAGAGACAGGGTAAATGTGTTTAGCCTCTGAAGTTGCCCTCAGCTCGAGACAGGGAAAAGCATCTCCTCTCCCCTCTGCCCCTACAGCTCATCCTACCAAGTAAGTGCTGAAGAAAAAGTAAACTTCAGGCTATGTAAGAAAAAGAGGCTGGCTTGCCTCGGTTAGGGCCGTGGCAGGTCACGCCCCAAACCCTACGCTCCACACAGCAGCAGCACCAACAGTTTTCATAATACAGGAGTGTTCTCCAGTAGCCAAATATTAGCAAATGAGTGAGCACCTCCTGGTTACTCTGTAACTGCTTCAAAATTGCTCGAAGTTATCGCTGTTACATTTGCAAGCCAGGAGTTTTCAGCAGGGCAGCAACCAAGTGTCACAAAGTGGGCGTGATTACCTGTGTGGACATTTCCCTTCCCTTCTGTTTCCTGTTAACAGAAACATAAAAACACTAATGAGAAACTGATGCTTTTAAGAGTATCCCTAAACAACATGGTATTGTGTGCGTTCCCTTCCAGAATCCAGTTCTGTTACAAAAAGAGGGGAAGTTCTTCTCCACTGTCTGTAAGGAGGATCTGTTTTCTCAGGGCGTGTTAAAGAGCGTTTGCCTGATGAAAGGCAACACTGAAACTCTCAGCTACTTGCTTGCCTGGAAAGCTGCCTTTTTCCGCGCTGGAGCTTGCCACCCCTTGTTTTGCTTTGTAACACGCGCTCTGTGTAACTTGCGGCTAAATTTAAGTCATGCGCCTCAGCAAGTCGCCCCTACCTGGTGGCCAATGAAGGTCAAAGCCTGGCCTGATTCCATCCAGTTTAAGTCGGGTCCTGCCTGCATCCCGCTTGGGCCAGGCTGCTCTGCGTTGTGAGAGGAGTCTCTAGAATACAGAGGCCAAGAGGCAGTCTGAGAGGTGAGTGATGGTCAAAGCTGGGCAGGTGGCGATTGCCCAGAGGTTTCTGGAGCAGAATTTGTGTTTGGAGAGCACAGCAGAAAGAAGGAAAAGGAGAAGCGTTCTTGGGGCACAGTTATGTTGAACGCTTGTGTGTTTTCACTGCGCCCGCTCTGCGTGGCTGTTAGTGCTTACCTACAAATGTGTGGACGGGAGTAATTTTTCTGCGGCTATGGTGCTTACTATAGTACAGATAAAAGTTTGTGAGGGATCGGAGCGAGCGCAAGATCTAGGCGAGGGCAGTGTCGACTCTGGCGACAGCAGCAGCAGGTGCGAACGGCTGCTGCTGCGGTGCGGTCTGGCGCTCGGAGTGGGGTCCGGGTTAGCATCGATCTGAGGAAACTGGTTCTCACCTTTCGGGTCCTGCGGGTAAGCTGCCGCCAGAAGGTCCCGCGCAAAGCTCTGGCTCTGTTTGAAGCTGGGTGCGATTCAGGAAAAAGGAACAACATTTCTGGTCTGGAGCAGAGCCCCCCCCTCCGCCCCTCCCGCGAGTGGCCGGTGCCGGTGGGCACGCAGGGCCCCGTCCCCGCTCCCCGGCCAGGGCAGGATACAGCTCACCGACCTGGAGGGCGGCCCGCACCGTCTCCCGCTGCCGGCGCTCGGCTTCCCGGATGCCGGCCGCCATCTGCGGGGAGAGCGAGCGGGTGACGGCGGGGCCGGGCGCCGCGGGGCCGGGGCCGGGGCCGGGGCTACCTGGCGGATGCGCTCCTCCTCCTGCCGCCGGTGCGCGGCCAGCGCCCGCTCCAGCGCCCGCGCGAAGCGCTCGTACTCCTCGGCCGGCACCAGGAACCGCTCCCGCAGCGCCGCCTCCGCCCTGTTCTCCCGCCAGAACCGCGCCGTCTCCCGGCGGTGCTCGGGCCTGCGGGACACCCCCCGTCAGCACCGGCCCGCCGGTGCCCCGCCGCCCGCCCGCCCGCCCAACCCACCCGGCCAGGTGCTGCAGGAGCCCGGCCTGCGGCAGCGCCAGCCCGCCGCGCCGCCCGTCCCGCCGCACGCCGCGCCCGCAGCACAGGCACCAGACGCGCCCGTCGTGCTCCGCCGGGTCGTAGCGCCGCACGGCCGCGCCGCCATCGCCATCCGCCGCCGCCGCCGCCGCCCGCGCCGCCGCCACCGCCTCCTGCAGCCGGTCCAGCGCCTCCCGCAGCCGCCGCCGGTGCGCGGCGCCGAACAGGTGCCGGCGGCCGGCGAAGGAGGAGCGGCGGCAGAGCGCGCAGTAGTGCACCGCCATGGCGGCGCCGGGCCGCGCGGCGCAGGCGCACTGCGGCAGGCGGCGGGGCCGCGCCGCGGGGTGCTGGGCCGCGGGCCCGGCGCGGGGGGCGGAGCTAACGCGCTTTTCTCCGTCCATCAAGCCGCCGTGCCGCTCGGTGCCCCGTCCCCTGCTGCCGCGCGGGGGGGGGGGGGCGTGTGGCAAACACCGTTCTCCCCCCGCCCGCCTGAAACCTGGTTTGTTTTGTCGTTTATCACCACCCACGGTCCGCGGAGGCAGGTCAGGCGTCCCTGAAACGTGCTGAGCTCCCACCCAACTGCCGTTTGACACAGTCTGTCTGCTAGCGTTGCTCTGACGCCTTCGCTTTCATGCCCAACCACAGGTCTACCAAAGTTTTGGTTTGTTTTTGTTTTTTTTTTTTTTTTTAACCTTTACTAAGAGCTGAGGGTGCTCACGGTTTAGCCCAGCATGACTGAAGGAGAGCGTTGGTGCTGCAGCATCAAGGTTACCTCAGTGCTGCCCTTCGCTGCAGCCAGGCCTTCACACGCTGTTCACCCCAAATCAGCTCCTGCTCGGCCAGACAGACGCTCTGCACTGCCATGTGTGGGACCGACAGCCTCTGCCCCTCTCCCGGACTTCTGCAGTCGCTCAGGTGACGTTGGCACCCCTCGGTGCGGACCCACCCTGCGCGGTGGTTTGCGCACGAGCCACCGCCCCGGTGTGTGCGTTTAGGCTTGATCAAATCCCTTTCAGCGTCTCTGTTCCTCCGTGCTCTCGTGAGCGCAGGGGTGAAAGGAGCTGATCTCCAGGGCGCACCCAGCCCGCCCTGTCGAGCGGGTTCGCATGGGCTGTCCGCTGGCATCCTCTCCCTGCGGGTCAGGTCTAGGGTAACACGCGGGACTCGCATCATGACTCTGTGCTGTTTGTCCCCTGTTGACAGGGTGCCCTGGCTCATGCTGCACGCGGGACTGGTAATGGACTTAACTGGACTGATCATGCTTTGACTCAGGGAACTGCCACAGCAGCCAGGAAGAAGGTATGGAAAACCTACTCTTCTGAAACACTAGACACCCGCTACCTGCCTGAATTCTGGCCTGGGGACCTGATTTTTCCTGCCTGTTGCTGCAGAAGCAAGTAAGTCAACAACACAACAGTAAGCCCTGATTGGGCTGTTTCTTCCCTTTGTCACGTCCTTGTATTGCCCAGGTAACTCCCTCCTCACACTTTGCAGTGCTCACTGATTTCTGCCAAGTGAGCGTTGCAGAAATTCCAAGCAGCCTGCCCAGCAGTTACGCGCCTCCTTGCCTGCTGGTTTTACAGCTGGCTGGGCAAGTGCAACAGCTTGGAATAACATCTGTGTGGTGGGGGCTCCTCTCATCCAGCCAGCTAAGGTGTTCTCCACTCAGCCTCGGACCTGTGGGCTGAGACTCTTTCTTAGGGAACACATCAACCTTCTCCTGCAGCTTAATCCTCTGCACCACGAGAACATCGCAAGACACGGCAGCTTGCGGGGGAGACCTTGTGTTAAAGTCTTAGCAGATGCCATAGGTCAAAGTGCCTCTGCAACTTGAGATGTGCGCAGCTGGAGCGAAAACTTACCTTCCTGAAGGAAATTACATTGGTCATGTTCCCCTCCCCGCCCCCTTTTAAACCCGAGTCCTTATGTCACGATGCTCATAATTTCCACATACAGTTCTTGGGAAGCTACCTGCAGCAGCACATGGGAAAACAAGCTTGATTTGAAAACACATGGTGCATGTTTCAGAACCAGGGAGCCGGAAGGAATCAGAAGCCAAACAGAGATCTCATCAGTTCTGCAAAAGATAGAGAGAGGGAGTTGCAGTAGTTACTTGGACGGTAACGACTGCTCAGGCACTGATGCTACAGCCTCAGTCCTTATCCGTAATAAGGTGATAGGTACTGTATTGCTGAGCGACGCGATACTGAGAGGAAGGCTCTGCATTGCAACGTGGCCTGGTTTGTTCACCTTGCAATGCGAGATTCGTTAAAGAAGGGTTCTGGGCCAGCCTGGTGACCAAGGCCAGCTTGAGGGTATCTCTACAGGCATCTCCGAGTGTCTGGGGTCATCTCCTAGACCTAGTGACCTAGTGTCATGCGGTGCTGGTGACTGCAAACTGGCTTGGGTGCCCGCCTGTATCCCTCCTGCTACAGGAGTCTTGTAAAGTCTGACTCGCTCTGCATTTTGCGGGGCTTCTGCCCTCTGAAATGTACCTGGTTTGCTCATGCTTCGGCGCACCAAGTCGAGACCCTCTTCCGACAGGGCCTCCACTTCCTCCTGAAACTTTCGGTCTCCTTCTGGAGTCAGTTTCCACAGGCAGGACTTGCGATTTCCCTCACGGCACACGAAGCCAGTGGTTTTCTCAAAGCAGCTGCTGAAGCACAGGTTATGTCGGATAGTGTTTTTCCAGCCCTCTGGGGCTGTTTGAAAAAATGGGAAGTGCTGCCTGCGGAGAGAAAAGAGTTGTCCTGAGCTGAAGCACTTAGGGGCTGGCTGTGATAAATAACAGAACACAGCACAGCATATCCGAGTGAGGGAAGGAGGAGTGGGTCCTCTCTGATCCCGATGGTGAAGGATGGCTGGTGCAGTTGAGCACTGTGTTTTTTCTAAAGCGGGCATAAGGCAAAACTAAAATGCCAGCTCTTGAGGCTCGTGGGTTTGGGTGTTGAGGGGAAGCAGTTTTCTCAGCCTCATCTTGAGCCGAAGGCAGAGCTAAGACCCGAACACAAGTCCTGGCCACCACATCCCTGCTCGCCTGTAGAAGATCAGAGACTCCTGTACCCCTCCTTCTCCCTCTTCCCCCCATTCTGCACTAGGAGCTGGGAGAAGAGTGGATACCGTGTGAACTGGTAGATCTGCTGTACGGTCAGACTGCCGCTTGCGCTGTTGCACAGGGCGAGGGTGATGAGGATGCAGTAATTAAGCGGGGGACGGGGCCAGCCTCCCTTGATTTTGATGCTCGTCTGCCGGTGGCACTTGCACTTCACATTCTGAGGTCTGAGGACTGCGGATTTCCAAGGCATCGGCGTTGCCTTGAGATTGTGAGTTTCCAGCATCTCTTGAGAAACAGAGATGTCCACACATGAGGCATCTTCATCCTCAGTAAGCTGGGGAGAGGGAAGAGAAAAAGGACGTGGATATATTAGCCCTCGATGGACTGAGGGACAGGGATAAGCTGCTTTGTTCTGGGCGAGGGTGGGTCTGGCAGAGTGTGTATAGAAAAGCATATATACTTTAAATGTTAGCCTTCGTCCCCACACTTTGTACTCTCGGCCTGTTTGGCAGACAGGCTCTGTGCATTGACTGACCCCTGGCGAAATGGGAGGCAACAGCTTATGGAGCTGCTGAGCCAGCTCATTTGTTCTTGTGGGATGCTTAAGCACGTACAATGCCTGGGACTGCCCAAGCAGTTCCCTTTTTCGTACCTTTCCGGCCTCGCTGGAGGATGACAGCACATCCTCCTCGGAGCAGTCTGGGTCAGAGAAGTCCCAGGACGTGTTCGGAGAAGAGGTTTCTGTGGCACCGGCAACCGAGGACACCTGGCTGTTGAATCCCTCCGGGTCTACGCCAGGGCTCCCGGGGATGGGGCAGACCAGGCTGGGGTTCACCCACATCCACAGATGGGACTGAACGCCAGGTTCTGAGGAGAAGGAGAAACGTCACCCTGCCCGTCCTATCTGAGGACCGTTTCTAGACCCTGCTGTCCAGAGGCAGCCTGGGGCAGCTCTAATGCAATGCAAATCCCAAGGCAAAGGTCCCCGTTTGCCTTCTCATCCCTCTAAATAGAGTTTTATTTCCTGTTTGGCATACAGCATGTGTGTCTGAGTGTCCTTGCACCGCTGCGGCCAGCCCGAACAGCGGTGCTCAGCTCTGAAATTTTACTTTCTCTTTCCCCTGTAAAGCCAGAAGAGTGGAAATTACCCCCTTCAGTCCTTCTTTCCCAAGTTTATCTGCCCAAAGGGTTGCGTTCAGAGGGAAGCGTGTCTGCAGGCACAGCTGTGTAATTATATCCTGGTCCTTGAGGGATGGGTTTCAACTTTTCCTAACTAAGCTTAGAAAAATTCCAGTCTGGACATAGATGTTCTGGCTGGCGGAAGAAAAGCCCCTTTCCCAGGCCACACCGCTAGCTTCTGCGGGTAATACCAGGTCCTGAACTTATCCCTGGCATCTGGGGCAGTGCCCTCGGCAGCGAGCACCCGTGTGTTTTGTTAACTTCTAGACTGGAGCTTACTATTTACCAGATTTTACAATTTTTACCTGGGTTTTGGAGACGGGGATCTTTTATAAAAGGAAGCCAAGTCAACTGATCCCCCCGAGGCCCTTACCTTTCAGAAGATCTTCAGAGGTCACAGTGAGTTTGAGCTCCCCTTCCATGTCCCAGTCCTCAAGGCCGCTTTTTAAGTGTAGGCTTTCCCAAAATGATTTATTTTGAAAACTCAAGTACATTTTCTTTGTATGGCAAAGTAATCTCCAGGTGCTGAGCTCAGCGGGATCTGCAAGGGTGGCACAAAGAATCTCGCAAGTTTGAGCTGCTCTCTGTGCTGAGAGACTTGATTTCATATTTTCTTTAAAAAGGGTATCACACAGGTGGGTGAAAGGCTGGTCTCTGTTTCACACTTCTAAATGGCTATTAAAGCCCTTTCTAGTGAGTAAACGATCCATGTTGGTGGAGTAAGCCAGCTGATTGAGAATAAGGTAGGTGGCACCACGTAGGCCCTGTTTTCTGCCCGCTCGCTATGCTAGAGCCTTGATAAATGAGACATTCCTGTGTTCATTAGGCTAACGTTTGCTTTTTTTTTTTTTCCTACTTCTGATAAAATCACAGCATTACCTACGCTCTGCAGTGGACTTGCCAGGCTTGAGAGCCCAAATGTCTCTGAAAGCAGGATGGATCTCTGAGGGATGGACAGAGTGCTCGGGATGCGTTTGCAGGTACCGGGGAGCTCCTTTGCCCTACTTGCCTGGAAGCACTGGGTTTTGAGACTGGAAACCGCTTTCGATCACCCCAGGCAAAACGCTGAGGGGGTACCACAGTCGGGGAAAAGGAGCCAGGTTAAGCAGGTACTGGGCATGCTTTCACAGCGCGTCTCTTTAGAAACCACTTGTGCAACTTGAAGACGCAATGACAATTCTGTGCCTTCCCGAATTGCTTTTGTTTCTTTGACCATATCTTTCACACACTGCCCCTGCCTAATCTGTCCTGGGTATTACAAAGGAAGTGATGTGGTTTTTTCCGTTAAAGGGAGGTTGTAATACATCCTCATCCTATTCGCCTACTCGCCGTCACTCTTCCGTTGGGGAGGGCAGGGGAGGTAGGCGGCACGGGTGGAAATGGAGTAGCCACAAATCAAAATCCAAGCCTTGGCTTAGTACCAGCAGGCAATTAGATTTCAGCCTCTCTAGATATGTTGACCATTTTGCAGGAGGATGCAGGTTATGCTCGTAGCAGACGACTATATCAGGGACTTGCTGCCGGTTCCTAGCAGGGAGATGGACAGAAAGAGGTGGGTTTGGGCAATTGCTGGAAAAGATTGCCCCATAACATTAGCGTCACGATGTTGAGAGAATCTCAGCTTAAAAGTGAATTCCGTGACCCTTGCACCAAGGGTTCGGCTTCAAGTTGTCTGGGTTTTTTCTGCATGACGAAAGAAAAGGGTAAGGTGCTTTTCCCCACTGCAGGCTTGCTGCGCAGTGCTGTGGGCCAAATATTCTTGCACTGTTCCTGCCTTGTGTATTTGCGTATTTTGAGATGGGCTGTTGGAAAATAAAAGTCAAACACTAAACCAAGGTTTTCTTTTCAAGAATACCTTCAAAGGGCAGAGAAGGATCTGGCCCGATCAGTTTTGCCTCTTCGTTAAAAGCACGCGTGATAGTTTGTACTGTATTAAGGCTTGCTTTGTTCTTGTTAGGTAATCCACAAATATCAAGTCAGTATGGTTTTGCTTTTACTAGATGGAAAAGACCACAGTCACGAAGCTTTTTCCAGCCTTGTGTGACAAAGTTCAGTCGTTAGTGGAGACCACCACCACGCTCCCCATCAGATTCCTCAGCTGTGAGCAGGACCTGCTCGGTCGGCTGCTTTCCAATCAAAACCCCTTCCCCTTCCTGAAACGGGAGCCTGGTATTTGGCTTTAGACGTGTTGCAAGCAATCCAGCTACTACAGTTTAATCATTACCAGGTATCACTCGACCTGTCGCACCGCAATGTCGTTTTCCCCTTTCTATCTATCTGGAGTGAAACTCTTGCACGGTGGTGTATGCATCAGCTGAGGCGTAGTAATTCATTAAGCCCATGATTATCTACATGCACCCTCAATTGATGCCTCTCCTACCCACGTAACCTTTAGGACTTCAACAATAAACTTGCACAAGAGTGCTAGGCTGGATGCAGTTATGTTAATAATCTTAGAAAAACGTGAGTATTTTTTTTGGGGTGGGGGTGGGGGGTGTGTGTTATAAGATAGTCCTGTGATAGCTAGACCTTGCTTGCAGACGAGATATCTTGATGTGCTTGCTCTTCAGCCAGGCGTGGCTTTTGAAAAGCAAGCGGGGCAACACGTAAGGCACCGACGTGACTGAAAGACAGAAGAATCCTTGGGGATGGACTCTTCCACGGGAAAGACGCCCTTGCCTGTGCCGCTTTCCAGGAGCTGCCCTGGCAGAGCTGGAGGAGGATAATGGGAGCGTGGGGCTTGGCCACAAGAGGCCGTGTGAGCTGGCATTTTGCAGGCAGCGATTGAATTCACCTGTAGCTGGTTCAGAGCTGGTGCCCCCGGAGTCAGGTGGGGGCTATCCTGCTAAAGCTACTACAGAGCAATAACGGAGATGAGAAACAGCTGCAGGCCTTCCAGGGCTGCTTGCAGCAGCTGGCTGCAGCTGATTAGAGATTCCTTTCTCCCATCTTCCCCCAGGTTTCTGTGTTCTCAGACAAGACTGTACTGGTCTGTGGAACTGGTAAGTAACGCAGGGGCAAGGGAGGGATGGGATACAGCATGATATAATACAGTGCTCCACCCAGAGAAGCTCTGGACAGTTGCGCTTAGACCCTCCCCCAAAAAAAGACGTGAGAAGAGCTTGCTGATATTTCCTGCCTCTGCTGCAGGGATGGAAAGCATTCCCCCCATGTGGTAACGTTTACTTCTTACTGGTAGAGATTTGAGGTGCTGCTGTAACGCAAACAGGTAAAGCGGGGAAATCAGGCCCGTGCTTTGCCCAGTCTGTGCAATGAAGGTGGCCAAACGGGGAACAGAAGTGTTGGTTTCCAGCTTAAAGCCTAAGAATCTTTTAAATATCATACCTCTGCAACCAGGGACCTTTCCCTTAAGTCTAGGAAAAGGCTAAAAGGCCTTGCTTTTGCCTTTGGCCATTCAGTTGCTGAATCCTAATCCTGTCGGTCTGTATACTGTGTGTTCTGGGTGAAAGCATCGTAACTCCTGAGCTCTGTCTTGCTACCCCTGCTTACCCAGGGGAGAGGGGTGGTGATCAGACTTATACAGCCAGTTTGTGGCCAGTGAAACCGAAGACTGATGATTCCTCATGCCCTACGGCTTAACTGGAAGCTCACGCTTTGTATCTTAAAGCCATCTAATTTTTTTGGTCCCCCTCTAGCTTTGGAAGGTGAAACTGAATTTAGAAGAGAACTCGCTGACGTGTGCAGAAGGCCAAAGTAGCCAGCATCTCTACCTGCGTCATGAACGGAGCTGGAAACGTAGAGAGGTGATGAGCTAGAGGTGTCTTGACTCCGGACATCTGGATTCTTCAAAGCCAGCTCTTTTCAGGTGAGTGTTACTTGCACGGAAGCTGACTGATAGGACAGTTCTGCTGAAAACTAATCTCACTGCCACACACCCCATAACTGCAAAAACTACAACGAAGCTTCGTAACAATGTGGATTGGGGTCAAGGAGCAAGTGCAGTTCTCTTTCTTTGCTGATTCCTATCTCCTGGCATTTTAGATTAAGACTTGTTTGCAAATCGAGAGAAAAGACATTTCGGATTTGAGCCGTAACTGCGAACGTGCTCAGTTGCTTCTGAGGGTGTCCTACTTCTGTGTGCGCGTTTCCGCGTGTGCGTGTAGTGTGTAGGTAGATGTCTTTGGCCAGGCTTATGGCTTCACGTGACTGTGCTGGGTGAGGGCAAGCAAGAGCAACTAGATTTGCTTCTGTTTCTGAAAGATGTTGGATCTAAGCTCACTCTCTCCTCTAAGGATAGGGGAGCTTTGCACCTTGGCTTCTGACTCAGAGTTGTTATTCCAGTCTGGCTCGAAGGGCTCTTGTATTCCACAGTTCCTGAAAGCTTTGAATTTGTACAGAATGCCATCTGCTTGTCCACGGTGATATGAGGGTGTCGTCTCTTGTCTTGGTGTTGCCCAGCTGACGGTATTTGTTCAGAAGGAAGCTCAGTGGACTTGGCAGAGACTCTGGGCTTGTGGATACTGGTCACGCCATCCAACTGTGGGGTTTATATATATATTTTTATATACATTATATATTTAATTTTTAAATTTTTCCTGGGGTAGAGTAGAGATTAATTTCTAATTAAGTAACTGATACTTTTCCTCATCTTCCTTGTATGGGGTGGGTGCATGGTAGGTGCCTGGCTTGTCCTCGCACAATGCCACTCCTGCTGTGTTGGCATTGCTTCAATTCCCTGTGCTGCAGCAAGTGGCTGATGCTGTGACTGTAATCTAGAAAGAGCTCCCAGGATATGTGTGGGCTGGGGTTAAAACCAGTCCTTTCTGTTAAAGAGAGGCAGCAGAGAAAGTCCTGTCGGGCAGGGGGAGAGGGGACACGAGGCAGAGAGAAGGCTGTGCCTGGCGAGAAGCGGTTGCTGTGTCGGGGCACCCGGTTAATCCTGCGGATGCCTGGTGTGTCTCTGTCGGTATTGACGGTCGATGCTGCTGCCATCGTAGCTGTTCGTAGCCTCCTCAGGATGTGAGAATGCAACAGATCTACTTGATGAGCATCGCGGCCTTTTTTATTAGCCAGATTCTATTCTTTCTGAACAGATACGCTGTTTTTCTGGTGGGGGAAAGGTGGCTTCTTACCCCCCACGTCCTCAAATTCTGTGAAGTTGCAGTAAAAGCACTGAACTCGGGTCTCTGCCCCTCCTCCCTGATTTTTAAAACCACTTCAAAGGTGAGCTGGCGGACGATTGAAGTGACTGGTTCTGCCGGGCTTGCCGCCACTCACCTTTCTTGCCGCTCCCCCGCGGAACAAAGCGCGGCGCTTGCCTTTGATTTCCCCCTTTGAAAGCCAGAGGGGACAGAGTCTGAAATGCTCTGCAACATTTTTTGTGACTCTGCTCCGGTACCTTCCTGAAGCGCTGGGTGGATCAGGACAGGGCTCCAGGGAGGAGACCTGGCTTGTGGCTGTATTAGCCGTCGGCACGGGCTGGCTGACAGGATGCTTCATCCCTCCTGGGTGTCGCAGCTGGCATGCCCCCTTTTTGCAGGGAGGGCGAGGTGACGCGTACAGTGAGGGGAGGAAGGAGCCACAGAGTTGTCTCGGTGGCTTTGACTGATGTGCACACAGGGGTCCCAGAGCCCAGCCTGGCTGCCCCTCACCAGCAGTACATGCCCCCTCCTGGCTCAGCTGCTGCCCAAGGGAGGGGTCTGCCCTAACCTCCATTTTGCATGCTTTCTGCCAAGAAGAGATGGCACACAGTGGAGCGGAGCACGTGCTGCCAGTCTCCTCCCAGGTGGGAAGGGGAAAAACCAGTGAGTGCATGTGCCGCGGCCAGCGGCCAAGGCCCAGTCTGCTCGCCGTCTCTGCAAGGGACGCTTCTTGTCGCAGGGCTTGAGGCGTTTGCAAAGCTTTAACATGCAAGGCTGTCATCTGCAAGCAGACAGCGATGCAGGCCATCCCTGCCTAGCGCGAAGGGGGTGAAGACTACCTGGTACTGAATCAACAACCCCACCTAATGCTGCGTCCCAGAGCACTCTTATCAAAATACAAGCAGAGTTTGTCCCTGCTCAGCTTGTGAGATGACGAGGTGCGCGGCTGGCAGCGGTGCAGCTGCACGGCCAGCACGTGCAGTACTTGGTGAGAAGTGATGCAGGTCGTGGCCGCGACGCTCAGAAGCGGTGGGATGCTGACTCGGTGCAGGGAGCAGTGGTGATAAAGCAGTAGGAATTGGTTGTGTTGAAGGAAGTACCAGATGACAGACTTGAGCTAAGGTTAATAAATCTGATCTCTTATTCTGGTGAGGCTCTTCATGTTTTATAGCTGGTGTCACTTTTCTATGTGCTGCAGAATCAAGAGGAAACTTCCTCTTACCTGCTCGTTCAGGGCCAGGCTGGATGCCTGTATGTGGCTGCTTATGGAACAGCACTGAAAATCCAAATACATTAGTGTGTCACCTCTGAGCCCCTGGGTGCAAGAACCAATGCTGGAATCATGCTCTGCTGCTTATAGGAGGATGACCCGTGTATCGGGGCAAGAGCCTTTGCTAAGACCACTCTGTGATTCAGCCTCGCTTGTCGTGCTAGTGGGGAGTCACTGAGATCAGGAGGACAATGCCACTGAAAATTTTAGTCTAAAAAAAAAAACCAAACCCTTTTCTTTTTATTGCCACTTGAATCAGAGATGTTGTATCTTTAAGGCACCCCCTTCTCATTCCCCTAATACCTCAAGACCTCGGAGTGATTCGGGAGGAGAAGATCAGTGCAAGAGTTTAAGGCATCTTTCCCTGCCCTGCTGCACTGCTCACTTACTGCTCCGAAGGCTGTGCTTTGCTGTTTCCATGGGAACCATTAGTTGCTAAGCAACTGGAGCATCATCTGCGCTGAGCCCTCGCATCTAATTATCCCATCACAGTGGCTGAGAGGTGCTGGGGGGGGATTAACTCCTCTACCATGGCAGATCCATTGACAACGCTTTAGTCACATTTAAAGGGACACGGTCTCCCTTCTGCCGTGCTTATCAACACTCTCTTGCTTGGGCAATTACTTGGTTTTCTTGCATTGTTGGACTATGAGGAGGGGTACAGGTTTCCGCGAGCAGCAGAGACACCGTCTGTGCTTGTGGCCTGCTTGCTGCCCATGCATGGAGCTCTTCTTTCCGTACAAGTTACGCATGATGTGCTTAGCTGTATGCTTAGACCGTGCTGCCCTTGCCCTGCAGGTTCTGTCTGGGCCATACTTGTAGTCCTTTGCATATCTCCTTTGTGTTGCGATTGCCTCGATGCTGCCCTTACGTTATTGTCTCTGTCCCAAGAGCCTGATGTCATGTCTGCTCTGTGAAGTATTGCTAATTCTTCACAACTCAGCAATGGAAGAGGTGGACAGCTCGCTGTCTTCAGCCTGTCTGCAAATGAAAGCAAACATCGCATAGCTTGATACTCAGTTCAGTATTACCTTTCTGTTTGCTGCCAGGAAGGCTAGGGATTAAGTCTTCGAGGAGCACCGAAAGTCTGAGGTGTAAAGTAACAGCTGAGGAAAATCTCATTTTCCAGACTTCCGTAAGTGGACAAAGCCACCAGCTGACTGGCAGATTTTGAACATTCGGATAAAATAGCTGGTCTGAGAGCAGATTCTGATTTTTGAGTTCGCAAATCCAAGGCCAATGTTGTGCAGGACTCGGTCTCCCTGCTGTGATAGATTGCATCTGAGCGAGGTTCCCAGACTCGTGAGGAGAGTGGTAGCAGTCCGAGTTACCTTTAGACAAACGCCTGGGCTTCGTGACAACCTGACTGCACGCAGGTCCGTGCTTCGGTAAATTGTATTAGCTTCTTGCCTGCTCCCATCTGGCTGGATAGGGATGAAGTTTTCACTTTCTCTTGGGAAATGGATGCTTTGTGATTTACTAGGGCGATTGCTTTTCTAGTGGTTGCATCAGTGAGGATGGGGAGGTTTGTTAGAAAGTTTACCCATTTTTTATATTTTTTTTTTTTTTTTTCCTGCATGGGGGTGTGGACCAGTTGAGTGTTACTGCAAAACTTCCTAGCAGTGTTTGCTGTATAAAAATCAAGGATAGAGCTGCTTCTTCAGCAGGAGGGTGGCCCACACTTACCTTTGAAAACAAGACAATCCCCAATATGTCCCCAAATTGTCTTTGTTTCTGTGTCCACCCTTGAATTGTAATGTCTCTCGCTGCAGCCAAAGCCTGCAGGCACTATCCAGCCTTGGCAATATGTTCTGCCAACCTGTTAGCAGTGCTTCCACCCCTCTCCACTGGCATGGGACCAGGGCATGCAGCTCTCCGAGGAATGAGTGACCGGGGGCTCGGTGGGATGGGGTAACTTGGGAAGGTGGAGCAGATGCCCCCCGCCTTTCTCTCAGGGTAGATGGATGATGATTGTTATTATTAGCGCTCTCGTAATGATCACGGGGAGGGGCAGGTGGAGGAGAGATGTATTTTGTCATGAAAATGGGAAATGTAATTAAAGTCCACATGTTAATTAAGAGCTGGAGGGGAGAAATAGATGGATTTCTGCCTGAAGTCTCATTGGCACTGGTAGTTGGGCTCTTAGCATAATGCTAATAGACAAGGAAGAAAGGCTTTGGAGGAGCATGGAAGATGGAAGTATTGTTCTTGTGGCTTGGAGCAGAGCATACAGAGTAAAGGAAAAGCTTTGTTTACCCCAGCTGAGGCTGGGAAACCAAAAAGAGGAATGGTACCCACAGCCTTTTGCGTTTGGTTCTTGGGTGTAAATTGACTGTGTGGAGACTCTCGGGGAGGTGGTGCAGGCCTGGTGACCCACGTGTGTTTCTCTCTGGCCTGCCTGGGCACCTCCCTGTTCCCTGCATGGGGATGTTCAGTCTCTAGAGTGTCAGACCA